TGGGAGCCAAATGATACTTTTCCTCAAATAGGAACTCCTGACTCTTCCAATTTTTATTCTTCATTTGGCCTGTCATCAGCTTGTTAAGTCAACGCTACTCTTCCCACAATTACAGAAATTGAAAAGAGACTATCTACTGTAATCAGCAGATTATAGTGAAATCAAAAACCATACACAAATATTTAATATGCTGGCATTCAAACACATACATATATACACATACTCACTAAGGTAGATAATCCAGTATACATTCTACACATTAGCTTATATATAATATAGGTACCATTTATCTGCTCATTCTCATACAGACAGACACTGCAACTATCAGCAATCCATAATTACTAACCACATGAAGACAATTTAACAGTTTAGTAAATACTGGTTAATGTTTAAACTGAGAATGGATGTGCAACTTCACCAGACAGGTCAACGTGACTGAAATCAAGAAAGGTTATGCTAAGTATAAAAGGTTCAACCCTGAAGTAATTTCCTTTGGTTGTTTTTTATAATCAGGTCTAATGGCCCATTGTAAAACTATGTTTTATAGACACAATGTGGACTAAACTCAATTCAACCTGCGTCCTTCATCTCCCTAAGGCCTAAGCTAAAAGGAGACTGTACACAAATACTCTTGGTTCCATGCCTTCCACCCCCACAAAGCTTTAATAACATGGGATTTGAGAGTATGTCTAGAAAGGAAAGGGGAAGACCCATATCTCTGAAGACCTAAATTCAAAGCCAAGAAAACAGGAATTTCTGCATTTAGCAGTTAACATTTCTTCTTTAAAATACCGAACAAATGTATTATCTTGCCTACTGTAAATTGTTTATAGCCAAGCTTGTACACACACAGTGATTTTTCTTTAAAAAAAGCTTTTAGAGTGGTTAATAAAATGCTGACTTGAGCAATCACCGTAAAGATATTCTGTGGCTCCCATCAGACAAATCTTCAGTTTATTAGAGCATACTATAGAGACTGATCAGCCCAAACAGCTTTTTCGCTCTGCACAGAAATTTTACTAAATAATGGAACATACATCAATTATAACCCTGTTTTCTCATAGCTCACCAACACCACAGCTCCTTAGCAATACTTTCCTAACATACTACATCATCATAACACATAACTGGAAAAGTAAGTACATGAGTGGGAATTGGTGCCCTAATGTTGCAAAAACTGCTGTAATCCAGTCTTAAAATCTGGGTGATGTGCAGATGAAGCAAGGTTTACTAAACTGTTAAATCAGAACCTTGCATGATGAAACCATTCCGTTAATCAGGAACACACACTGGCTACACAATTGTGCCTGTCACTTAGAGAAACCCAGTTCTGAGACTGAGATTGAATTAATTTGTCTAGCTACTCACAGGCAGTATAGAGGTTTCAGATTATAAATTACAATGTGATATGAAAAGTAGTTGAAGATGCCTCTAGTTAAAATATATCTTGGGACACAGTAAAATATTAATTAGATATGACCTGCATACAAATACTGCACTGCTATTAAAGACTGCTTCTGGAAGTGACACTTTACCTGACAATTTACTTGATAATTAGGATATTTCACAGATTCAATTCAAGACCTGTGATAAAAGTCAGGATGACATAAAAATGAGAAATCCTTGAGTCTCTTAAAAATTCTGTCTCTCTTTCGGTTGTTAATGCAATAACGAACATGCACATTCTTGTTCATTTTCTGACAAGGAAGGATAAAAAAAAGACAAAGTCACAGAAAAAGTGTTTATCAGAATTATCTCAATGGAGAGTTGGGAACTGACAATTATGCTATCTTTACACAGATGAGGTAAAGACCACCACGAAGATGTACTTCTTTAAACTATCTCTTGACCCAGCAGAATGACACTTTTTAACAGGTTTTCCTGACAATGCCCTCAAGACTAAGAAATAAAGCTAGAAGAAACCCATTTGTATTTCATATAGAGATCTAAATAATTCCAAGAAATCAGTTTTGTTTGGGAGTACAGTAAGCTTTCAACCAAATGCAACAGGGAAGCCATTTTCATGAAAAACTAAAAAGATGACTAATAGGAAAATAAAAAGTAAGGGAAAACATTCTTTCTACAAAGTTTCCCTTTTTGTAAACCATGCACTATAAAATTCAAGCATCCAAGAAAAAAAAACCTAAGGTACCCCTCAAGAAATGGGAACCCAGGGAAAGCCAGACTTTTAGACTTAATACTGGCCACTTTGGAATCTGGACAGAAAATCCAGACAACTCAGTTAGGCTGACCAGTCTAGAGAGACAGCTGCCTTACAGAGTGCAGACACTATGAAGTTCACACTTATTCAATTTAAATACTCAGTCAAAACATTTTTTAAACTTTCAATATATAATATTTTTTAAGCTTTCAATATATACATGGCCACATCACAGGAGAATACCACCTTGGCAAACTTCAGATTTTCCTTAAAAAAAAAAAAAATTTGAAGAAAATTGTATCATTCAGCTATGAATGATATCCAACTTAAAACTCACTGCTCTAAGCTGGCTCTGAATTTGGAATTTGTATTTAATCCTTTGTCCCACGTCACCTCCATCTCCTGAACCCATTAGTGTCTTCAGAAGCTGTTACTAATGACGTAGACTCATGAAGACAGAGGGTTACATTTAATTTGGTCTTACATTAATTTAATCTTCTACCATGTGTCTATTTTATATTATAAAATATTCTTAATCAACAGTCCTGTTATCTACAGCATTTTACTTCACTTGGATAATGAAAGTTCATGATTAGACTCTTTCCATAAAACAGTAAAAAAGAGTTTCACATTCTTCTCCATTAGTAGATGATTCCCAAATACATAAATTAATGCCTCTTCTTTAAATAATTTTAAATTAAAGAAACATAAGTAAAACCTCCTATTTTTACCGTTGACTCTTACAAAAGTAAGCCATTATCATATGCTATGACCTCTGTGAATTTGTTGATTTCCTTTCCTGTAGATTTATTGTCACAGATGGATTACAGCTGGAAGTGACCTCTGGAGATCATCTTTTCCAACCCCCTCACTCAAGCAGAGCCACTTAGAGCCAGATCCCCACGACCATGCCCAGACAGTTTTTTGACACATCCAGAACAGTACCTCCCTTGGTAAGCTGAGCCAATGCTCAGTCATCCTCCCAGTCAAAAAGTGTTTCCTGGTGTTCAGAGGGAACTTCCCATGTTTCAGGTTGTGCCTATTGCCTCTGGTCCTGTCACTGGCCACCACTGAAAACAACCTGCCTCCATCCTCTTTGCACCCTCTCATCAGGTATTTATGTGCATTCTTATGATCCCCCCCAAGCCTTCTCTTCTCCAGGATGAACATCCCCAGTGTTCTCAGGCTCTTCTTTGAGGAGAAAGGCCTCAGTCTCTTAACCATATCTGTTGGATTCTCTCCAGTATGTCCATGTCTCTCTCACACTGGGGAGCCATTTTTATTTGTTTTTTTCCAATAAAACTTCAGAAATCCTGTGTTCCACTACCTTTTGGGAAATCTCTGATGGAATTGGCACTATGTATGGAATTCAACAGTCCACTTTCTCCTTTTAACTCAAATTACTTCTAGTTAGCTAGAAAGGAACCAAAATCTTTCCAAAAAATCATGCTTTTTGAAGTTTAAATGTTTCTCAGTGTGTCTATGAACCTTATTTTCTAGAATTGTATCAATGATTAAAATGCAATCTAAAAATCCATTCCGTGAAAATCATTATTTTAACAGCTGCTCTAGATTATTTATAATCTTTATATTTATATAATATTCAGTCACAACAACCTGAGTAATTATGTTATCAAAAAGCAGTAATATCTGGAGTCAGTATAAATATTACAAAGCCCATTTTTGAAAAGGGAGGGCATGCTGACCTAGGATATCATCTTACTCCCTTAAGGATAAATAAATTTCAAGAAAAAAACAGATAGGGATCTGAAATACTGTGATGTTGTAAAAATCATGAAGCATCCTCATTTCCTACACATTGTCATAAATACCATTATGTTTCTGGGAAAACAGTTTGGCTTGTTAAATAACAAACATGAATATGTTGAATGTATTTCTGCTTTGTTTGTATGGTACAGTAGGTTTTACCCAAAAAATCAAATGGCATTAGTTAAGGACAAACTTGAAAAAGTTTTGGTTGGGAGTACATAAGAGTACAGGTTTCACTTCTGAAAACATTCAAAGCAACATGACTCTCAAGGCCTTCAAGCCACAAGCTCTAGAAGCCTTAGACCACACTACACAATTTCTTGATAGTAGCTTTTTTTTTCCATTTACAATTTTGTACTGCTCTAAATCTGTTGTAGTTCAAAAACATCAAACTCCAGCATTAAAGTTACAGACAATGTCTTGTGGATTAGACACTTGTTTATATTGAAAGTACAGCCAATTAAACTAAACCTTGTAATTTAAAGCTTCATGGAACAGTAATTTTTATGGTCTGATAACTAATGGAGACAAACTTAGGTAACCCAGAAAGACCCAGACAAATATATTTATTTAATAGCAAATGTTTACTAGTCAGGCTGCAGAAACAATACTCTTTTTTCTCTCCTTCACTGCAAAGTACTAAGTGTACACACACATGAAGACAGCCAGAGAGGAATGCAATTATAAAGGACATTAAACCAGAAGATAATTTATCTGTCCTGCTGAGGAAAGTTTAGGGAAGTAAGCCAAAACATCGGAAAAGAAGAAAACACTAGAGAACTAAACAAAAGAAAGTAGACATATAACACTGAATTAAGATAGTGCAGGAGCTTTATACAATACCCTACACCCACCTACACTTAAAATGAATCCACAGAGTTCCTGACAGAAAACATCCCTGAAATTATCACTTACACAAAGCAACATGACAAAGTATAGCATTGTAAAAACTAGAGAATTTTAGCTAGAGAAGAAAGTAAGCATTAGGTTGATAAAGAACATACCAGCAGCACTTCTGCTAGCTAACATGTTTCAGGCTAGCTGCAATTATTTCAAGTGTGATGCTTACCTTTAATAGTTTCTTCCACAACTTCTACTACGCGATCTATCTGCTGAACCTAAAAAAAGTCAGAAGGCAAATATCTAAGTAGTCAACAAATGGACATACTTTTATATAAACTCTTCTTTAAAAAAGTGTGTCTTTCTGGACTAAGGGGAAGTAAAGAGTTTTGGGCTGTGTTTTTAGCCAGGTTTTTTTTCTGTGCGTCTTGGTCCATCTGCCAAAAGTAACTTTAAAACTCACCATCTAATTTAAACCAATTTTTTTCCTCAAAAATAACAAGGTCTCATAATTTTGGCAAAAATCATCAAATCACTAGACAAGAGTGACCTAAGAAAAGAGTTCAGGCCTTAACTGCTGTTCATGGTCTGTGAAAGGCAGTGGTCACCCTCAAAGAGACCCTAAGTGCTCCCTCACCCCACCCTCCACATCAAAATAGGAGATGGTAGAGAATATAACAAGAAGCTAACTAAGGATATTGTCAGGGCAGACTACAGGGGAGAAAATCAAGGAAGTACTGCAGGGAAAAGACACTGGCACATGGGAAGAAATTTAAAAGTACTGTGGTGAAGTTTAAGGGAACAAGATATTCTCCTGAACTTAATGCAGGCACTGTTTGGAAATGGAAGGAAACACCCTCATGCTTTTAATAAGACAGAATAATACTTAATGACCATGACATAGCATCTGCAGCAAAGACAACAAATTTATGTTTTAGTGTTACACTTGCCAATATTCATCCATAATGAGCTAAATAATTAAATTATTTCTAATTAGATACATTAATCTTTATTTAAAGTCAGTGGCCAATATACTGTAGAGGTTTTGGTATATAGAGTAAAAGGAATCAGCATTAACATTGCAAAATTAAACATTCAGAAATTCTTGAAGTTGAGATTCTTCCTACAGCTTTCATCCAAACCACTTATTCTATGTAATGTCTACTATAAATATGTATAGATGTTTACATACATTGAAGGAAAGCTTACTTGTCACATTTAAATTAGTTTATAATTTTCCCACAATAATCCTTTTTAAACACTGTTTCTCTAAGTTGTACACTATACGAACTAAATTTAGCATGAATTCTGCAGCCTTTTCCTCGGAGTTTTTTACTGGTTTGTTTCCAAAACAAGCAGAAAAGCACAATTGCAGAGGCTTCAAGAGCAGAACCTGGCCTGCAACAAGGAGCCTGGAACTTGGATCTCTGGTATCAAAGCCATTAAGTCTCTGTGCCCTAAACCACTGAGTTTGTCATTTTCTGTAAACATATGTCTGCTTAATCTTCTCTATTTCACATTTATTTTACAATCAGTCTAATAGAAGGTAAAAAAAAAAAAAAATCTCATCTGTAGCTAGAGTCTGATCTAGGGTTCCCAACTCAAGTCAGTAGGAGTCAGTTCCTTTCCTTGTTTGGGTGTTGGATCAAGTCCATGTAAAAGCACTTTTTCTTTTTTTTTTCAACTTTTTGAAATAAAGCCTTTTTGAAACACAAATGTCTGCCACTTCAGATTTCTGAATACAGTATATTACTTTCGAATTCTAAAAATTAAATTATTGCTAATATTTGCATTTTAATAATCTTATTAAAAGATAAATATATTTAAACAATTTTCTGAAACACAAGCATTCATATTAAAGACATACATATGCATATTTACATACTTGTGTACATACCCCTTTCAGATATAGCTTTAAAACTTATGACTCAAGAAACTTAACATATAGACTTTCTATTTAATGTTTTAAAAATAAACTAAAAAATGACACTTGAAAACAAAAGTGCACACACTTACAACTACAAATATAGACAGAGAACAAAGTTTGTGCCAAATAAATTGCCTAAAATATTACTGCTACATATCTCAATACTAGACGGCTTAAGTTCATAATAATTTTAATCCTTTAAAATATGAGAAACCTGGTTTATAACCAAGTTTATAACCTCAGCCACCTATGATTACTTTCTGTGTTGCACATCTGGGGAATTTTTGCATTGCTGTAAACCCCCTGTTAAATAAAGATTTAAAAAAGTCCTCGACCACTATATTGCATTTTCATTTTATTGGATAAATTAAATTATTCTCAATATGCCTGTCAAGAAGATGGTTCATGTAAGTAATTAAAATTACAGGTCTAAGAGATAATGAGATCTGCACCTAGAAATGGATGTTTGTTCTGCCTTACTTGTTATTTTCCACATTAAGTATTTTTCATCTCAAATGACTGGAAATTGTTTGCCTAAAGTCCCAAGTGGTCAAGAATAATATGTGGAATGCTTCCAGTCTGTATTGATGAAGATAAAAGTATTTAAGTAGATCTGAGGTGAATCTGGTGTGGAAAGAGGGAAGGGTTTAGTGGATTCTTATTTGGAAAAAAAGAGGGGAAAAAAGAAGAAGAAGAAAAAAAGTCAAAGTCATGGTAATTAAGTTTTCTGGGGTATACAAAGCTCTGCAGGATTCTTTTCCTCACATCTCACTATGGAAAATTCTGGAGTGGTGTCAAAGGCATCTGTAAACTCAAGTGAGACCCAATAACGTCTCCATCAGGCATCAGGAAGCCCATGAAGTTCAGAAACTTTAAGGATCTTAATGGTGTATAAAGGGAAAAGACAACATTCCTCAGTGTTTCTTTGCAGCACATCTCAATAAACCAAACCCCCAGGACTGCTGGATGTAGTCAGTGCACCACACCTGGCTCCACAGAACTTGTGAGATCCTGTTTGTAGCATAGGCAAGTACACGGTGGACTTAATGTCCATTACAAATGGGTCTCCATTAGGACTTGAATACAGCAAAAGCTACTGGCCAACTGGAGCAGGCAGCTAAGTAGAACTACACAAAAAAAACCCCCACTCAACCACCACAAGTCGGGCCTGATGCAGAAATCTGGGCTGAGATTGATATAAGCCAAGAGGGCAGGCAAGGTCAGTGGGATGAATGAGTTGCCAAAGCAGGAAACTGACTGGTCAGAAAGCAGGGAAAAAGAGAGTTGTATCAAAGCGTGAAGCCCAAGCTGAAACAAAAACCAGGAAAAACCCTTGACCCTTCCTGGTGGGATCAGAGCTTGGCCTAAGTACAGCTCAGCAGTCATATGTATCCAGCCCTTATACACACAAGGAAGACATGAGGCAATCCACGCTGGGGCTGAAGCCACAGGTCGCCACTGAACACACAGTTGCAAACCATACACCTCCCAGAACACCCCAGCACTCCTCTGGGAGACAGCAGTCCTGAGCTCTCCAAGCTAAGCTCCCATAATTAGCAAAAGGAGTGTAGAAACGCACACATGGTTCATCTGTCACCAAAGAAAGTCCCCCAGTTCCCTTGTACTGTCACAATCACATTCAACAGATGACTATTAGGTGGAAGAGACCCAAAGACATGCCTGCAATGTGCCACGTCTGTAGTCTCACACTACGTGACCTGTGAGTGCTGACAGACATGAAGGTTGAGGATGGTGGTGCAAATTCTTCCAAGCTCTCAGAAAGGATCCAAGTTGCCTCAGAACCAATATTAATATCCTGGAACTGTTTTGCAGGACATGGAATCTGGGAAAAAACATAACCTCTAAGAGAGTTCCTACAAACTCAGAATACCCTTAATGGGCAATTAAGAGCGAAGTTGCACATCTACCCTGAGATTCTGCACTCTGTATAATCAGTGAGTCTCAGATCAAACAAAGCTATTTAGAAAAGTGCATCTATGAATCTATTATAAAAGTAAGAGAAACTTTCTGAGATTCTCTTCAGGGAGGCATCAAGATCTCTGAAAAGACCCTTCATTACAATTTGGAAAGACAAAACCTCATACAAGGCTTACAGCAAAATAAATACATGTTCAGTTTAATGTGTCCGCTGAAATACAGACAGAAGCATTTTTGGGGTAAAGATATTTGGACCAATCTCTCTCTGAAGTGACAGGATCAACACAAAACAGGAGAGATGGTCTTCAGATGTCCCTTACAAGTAAAGCTGAGTAAAAAGTGCTAAACCTTATAAAAACAAACAGCTCTTTTCAGTGAAAATATTCAGTGTCTTAATGGTCTTTTCTGAGAGAGAAGCATGAAGAGGGTGGTCACAAAAATAAGCAATTCATGAACATCCAATGTTTTCTGGAGGAGACAGGCTGCCTTTTAATGGAATCCACTATGCAGGCATCTAAGGTACCTCAGTAAAGCTGTTTTGTTCAAGCTGCACCACCAAAGAAGCTGAGGAATGATCTGGTCCAACTATTGCAGAAAAGGTAGTAATGTGTAGGGCTTCCTAGAAGTCTATATGATGAAAGAAAAGATACTCATTTTTCTCTCCACTTAATATAGCCTAGACATAATTTCAGATGGAGTCAGCTGCAGGAAGCATATTTACACCAAAGACACACTGTCCTTTGCCAACTATCGCAGTGCTTGTGCATTCTGAGTTATGCCACTGCCTGTTAAATAATGGCTATCCTGGTCTCCTCTGAAGAGGATTAAATCCTGCAAAGTGAGCATTTCAATTCCTTCAGAAAGCATCTCCTCATATTGTGATTGTACTTTACCTCAGCCAAGAGTGCCTACCAGGTGACGAAAAGTCACTGTAGGAATCTGGAAGCATCCTGACATTCAAATTAGCACTTTTATTCAAATTATCTTTTGATTCTTAGTGCAGTGGTACCTCAACATGTGTGATTGTAGAATATACTGTACTCTTTGCTGGATCCAAATCAGAAGATCACAGAATAATTCCTGGAAATGACATGCCATTTCTTGTAAGTGGTCACAAGAAATCCACATCATCTGGATGATTCTGTTGTTTCTGCTGGGGGACTGGGATTAACCTGGTAGAATCAAAAGCAAATAAAAACAAACCAGAGGCCTTGCCACTTGCTACCAGTGACTGTCTGTTTTGACCAAAAAGTCTGTGGTTTCACCCTCTGATGAGTCTCAGCTCTCAAGGTTGCTGAAACAGTTACCATCACTTGTTAAAAGTGGCAGCTGGGTCTTCATCATAACCATGACCCTCCCTCAGAGAGAATACAATTGCTGCCCAGGCCTGCTTCCTTTCCACGTGAAAGAGAA